TCTGTACAACGCTACCTTTCACAGGTAACAGCTTATATTGAATTTAGACAAACTGCCTTGGGGCTGATCCAGCTTAACATCTATTCATGCTGTCTGTACTTTTCCAAAGCCTCCCTCCTCATTAACCCCACACTGTACTCTTTTCTCTCTTACAAATGGAATGTGTCCCTAGTTATCCTCTTAGCTGATCTTTCTTTGTTCAAGCCACCCTTAAAACTCACTCACCCACCCCTCTGACTTTTTAAATACATGTGCTCCCATGAGTCTGGAGCCTCAGCGCAGGGACAGCTCAATCTAACAGACTGGTCTTGGGACTGGAGTTCTGCCCCTGTGACTCATCATGTGGCCTTAGACAAATTACTTTCCCTTGATTAGTACCAGTTCTCCCATCTGAAATAATTGGGACCATCTTAAGGTTGCCAGGTGTCCAATTTTTGACCAGAATGCCTGGTCACAAACTGATCCTGATGGCTCCGGTCAGCACTACGGACTGGGCCATTAAATGTTTGGTTGGTGACACAGCAGGGCTAAGGCAAACTGCCTCCCTGGCTCTGTGAGGCTCATGGAAGTAGAAAGCATCTCCCTCCAGCTCCTATGTGGAGGCATGGCCCCAGGGACTCTGCTGCTGCCCTCAACCTGAGCACCATCTGCAGCTGGGAACTGTGGCCAATGGGAGCTGCAGGGGCAGCAACTGTGGACTGCGTAGCATGCGGTACTGCCTGACCATGCCTCCACCTAGGAACGAGAGAGAAATGCTGGCCAATTCCAGGAGTGCCTGAGGTAAGCGCCATCTTGAACCTGCACCCCGAGTAAGTGGCAGAAGGAGGGGGGATGGATGGAGTGAGCGGAGGGGACTCAGAGAAGGGAAAGGGCCAGGCTTTAGGAAGGGGCAGGGTAGGAGCATTTGGTTTTCTGCAACAGGGAAGCTGGCAACCCTAAATCACCTTCTTCTACTGACAGCATACTAGGTAAGTGCACAAACAGGGCCGGACGGAGGCATAGGCGAGTCGGGCAGCTGCCCAGGGTGCCAACCAATGGGGGGCACCTGATGGTAGCTGTAAGGGCATGCGGTGTCCCTTACAACTGCCATCAGGCGCCGCACAACTGGCTCTTGCAGCGCCGGCCCGCCCTCATCCCCATGGCGCCGGCCAGCAATGCTCTTCACCCCATGGCCGCGATGCCTTACACGGTCCGGCGCGTGTGCCAGCAGTGACAGCCTGGCCGGACTGGGCTGCACATGCGCTGTACGCCCCAGGGGCAGGCCCCGGGCTGCACGCCAGCGGCCGTAGCCGGGCCGCGCATGCGCCGTGCACCCCGGGGGTTGGCCTGCCCCTAACCGTAGCTCGGGGCGCCAGAATACCTCGGGCCGGCCCTGTGCACAAGTTCTCATCAGTGTGTCATTTGTAAACTGCTATCTGTGTCTGATTAGATTAAATTATCTGTCTTGTCGGTTTATCTTACCTTTTGAACTTATCCTGGAAGGGTAAGAACAGCCACCTTTTTGGCATGGTCTTCAGGAATTTTTCTTGCTTCTCTTCTGTCTCATCCTGAGACACATACACCACAGCCAGCTGGGAAGCCCTGTCAACATAAAACTCATCAGTGAGTCTCACAAAGAAATCTTTGAGAACTGGTGAAAACTTCCGGCATTGCGTGCATTCACCAGATCCAAAATACAGCAGTAGCACTTTGTTCTCCAGTCTCTGGCTAAGTTCACGCTCCGTGTCCACTTCATCACAGTCCTTGTTGTTTGTAAGCAGCATCTGCCCAGTAAAAAGGGAAACCATGGCTTAGGTTTAAAAAAGATTAGGCTGGTAAAAGGCAAATTAATGAGCAATTAGAAACTCTTTTGCAATGAAGGCAGGTTTACATCCCTATGTCTGGGTGTTCAGTGAGAGGACAGACTGCACAACTTCTTCAGGGAACCTCTGCCCTGTTGTGTCCCTTCATGACACAGCCTCCTGTGTTGTGTCCCCCTTGTTTGTCGGTAAAGTCATTCCTTCTATATACTTTTCCCTTCACAGTGCTGTCAGCAATGCACCAATCCTGCTGCTGCATGGCTTTATAGTAAATCCAACAGTCCTCCTGTTGTGCTTTAGCTCCCAGCCTATTAATAGTATCTGTCAAATCAAACTCTGCAAAGCTATCTTTAATCTTCTTTAAACTGGGGACCTGGCTACTGTGGGGCTATTCAGCACAGCTGTTAAACTATTACAGAGATAGAACAGGATCTGTCATTGGTATAAGTTGTAACAATTCCCTGATAGGAGAGCCATTGGGGGCAGGAAGGGGGAGTATTATTGCTAAATGAAGCTGGAGAAACAGGGAGCCTCTTCACACCCTCTGCTATGCCCGAAGGATATTCGAAGATGAAGCTATTCAGTGACAACCCTGTGCATTGCTTTTGCACAAAACATGTTTTCATATAGTATGAGATGAGTCTTATAAGGATGATGATGTTTCTCTGATTTCTATCAATTGTGCTTTAATATAAACTCTCTTCAAGAGGACTGAAAAATGTCTTGTCTTTAAAAAGGGGGGTTACGACGTTTGGGTCCATTAGGCTCATGATCTTTAAAGAGGAACTAGAGTTAACATGAAAAACTGCTTTGAGATCTCAAATCAATAGCATAACTAGTCTTGTAAAATTATACAATATTATATATAGTAGGTGAGCTCCAGCTATGTTCAGTGCTATATGATTTATGCTTCCACGAGGGGTAACGGTAGTTCGGAATAGGAAGCCTAATCCGAACTACCTAGTCCGTGCCGCATGTAGCCGCGGGCAGGGAGTCCGAACTAGCGGACATTAAAAATGGCGGCGCCCGGCAATATGCAAATGAAGCCCGGGAAATTCAAATCCTGGGCTTCATTTGCAACTTCGGTTGCCTACATTAACCACCCTAGTTCGAACTAGGGTGGTAGTGTAGACATACCCCCAGAGAGTAAACAGAAAATTAAAGGAGAATAAATACATTGCAAAGAAGCTAAGGATATGTATACACTACAAAGTTAATTCAAAATAACAGCATTTATTTTGAATTAACTTTTAATAGCGTCTACACATACAAACCGCTATTTCGAATTTTGAAATAAATTCAAAATAGTGGAGCCCTTATTTCGAATGAGGTAAACCTCATTCTACCAGGAATAACACCTAATTCGAAATAGCTTATTCAAAATAAGTGCTGTGTAGACACTTAATTCAAAATAGGGGGTCTCCAGCCCTTGCCAGGGAGCCCTGGTGGTCACTCTGGGCACAACCAGGAAAACTTACTCTCCTCTCCCCCAGCCCCGGAACCATTAAAGGGGTAGACCCTGGCCACAGTGCCTGTGCCAGCTCCATGCCTACCAGCTCAGACCAGCAGTGGCCACCATTCTCTTCTATCCCAGCCCCATTCTCTATGCTCCTGGCCCCAACTCCTCTATCTCAGCCCCATTCTCTATGCTCCTCGTCCCAACCCCTCTATCCCCAGCCCCATTCTCTATGCTCCTGGCCCCAACTCCTCTATCTCAGCCCCATTCTCTATGCTCCTGGCCCCAACTCCTCTATCTCAGCCCCATTCTCTATGCTCCTGGCCCCAACTCCTCTATCTCAGCCCCATTCTCTATGCTCCTGGCCCCAACTCCTCTATCTCAGCCCCATTCTCTATGCTCCTGGCCCCAACTCCTCTATCTCAGCCCCATTCTCTATGCTCCTGGCCCCAACTCCTCTATCTCAGCCCCATTCTCTATGCTCCTGGCCCCAACTCCTCTATCTCAGCCCCATTCTCTATGCTCCTGGCCCCAACTCCTCTATCTCAGCCCCATTCTCTATGCTCCTGGCCCCAACTCCTCTATCTCAGCCCCATTCTCTATGCTCCTGGCCCCAACTCCTCTATCTCAGCCCCATTCTCTATGCTCCTGGCCCCAACTCCTCTATCTCAGCCCCATTCTCTATGCTCCTGGCCCCAACTCCTCTATCTCAGCCCCATTCTCTATGCTCCTGGCCCCAACTCCTCTATCTCAGCCCCATTCTCTATGCTCCTGGCCCCAACTCCTCTATCTCAGCCCCATTCTCTATGCTCCTGGCCCCAACTCCTCTATCTCAGCCCCATTCTCTATGCTCCTGGCCCCAACTCCTCTATCTCAGCCCCATTCTCTATGCTCCTGGCCCCAACTCCTCTATCTCAGCCCCATTCTCTATGCTCCTGGCCCCAACTCCTCTATCTCAGCCCCATTCTCTATGCTCCTGGCCCCAACTCCTCTATCTCAGCCCCATTCTCTATGCTCCTGGCCCCAACTCCTCTATCTCAGCCCCATTCTCTATGCTCCTGGTACCAGCCCCTCTATCCCAGCCCCATTCTCTATGTCCTGGATCCAACCCCACTATCCCAGCCCCATTCTCTATGCTCCTCGTCCAAGCCCCTCTATCCCAGCCCCATTCTCTATGCTCCTGGTCCCAGCCCCTCTCTCCCACCCCTCTATCCCAGCCCCATTCTCTATGTCCTGGATCCAACCCCACTATCCCAGCCCCATTCTCTATGCTCCTCGTCCAAGCCCCTCTATCCCAGCCCCATTCTCTATGCTCCTGGCCCCAGCCCCTCTATCCCAGCCCCATTCTCAATGTCCTGGTCCCAACCCCTCTATCCCAGCCCCATTCTCTATGTCCTGGTCCCAACACCTCTATTCCAGCCCCATTCTCTATGCTACTGGTCCCAACCCCTCTATCCCAGC